GAGTGCACAGGGCATTTCTCCATGTGCATCTTGTGTGCTCCTGCATAGTGCGAAGAATGGTAACAAGCAATGTAGAACCCTCGCTACACCTTGTCTTCAGCAATGGTAACACTCCCCAACTTACACCTAGTGCGCTTTTCATCTCATCATGTCCCAGTCCATGACCAGACAGCTCCAGCTGACCCACGGGTAACCACAAACAAAAGTTGGAATTTTTATTACAGCCCAACAGAGGGGATGAGAGAAAACGATGGAGGAGAGGCACAGAGGGAAATGGTGAGGGGGAGGGCGGGAAAGCAGAGCTGAGGGCACGGAAAGGAAAACAACCATGCTACGAGAAAGAGTAACCACCAGATTGATTGATTGACTGATTGACTGACTGATTGATTGATTGATTGGCCGTCAAATTTCCTCGGCGGGCAGGTAGCCAACCTCACACACGGTATTACAGCAGCTTGTAATGAACCCAGATCGTGAAGACAGTTATCAACAATGCAAGTCCAGATGTATGTCACAACTGATGATTACCAATAATCAAGATCGTGTCCAGATAGAATGAGATGAGATAATCATACACAGACGAAGGAGAGAGGAGGGAGATTAAACAAAGAAGAGGAGATAAATACAATGCCCACTCCTGCTTCGGGTTCCCTCCTCCATCACCACTTCAATAATCAATAGTCTGAACAAGTATCCGAAGTAACCTCAACGTGCCATATAGCACGTCTAATTAGTCCCTCATCAGCTCTGGAGCAATATCGACATGAAGACAATCAGGTACGTATTCACGATCTCTTCACAATCCCGATCATCCCCTTCCCTCGCAATCAGTCACCTCAAGTAGACAGATTGGTCAATGCCACGTCACAATCAAGACACGTGGCAACGCCACATCAGCAAAGAAGACCAATAGTAGCACCACATAGACCAAGAACAGCGCCACATACACCAGAGGCAGCGCCACGTCAGCATGGCATGTAGACCAGCTGCATATACCAGAGGCAGTGCCACATCAGCATGCGACGTAGATTGTAGGCAGCGCCACATATACCAGAGGCAGCGCCACGTCAGCATGCCACAAAGACCACAGGCAGCGCCACATCAGCATGCCTGACGTACAATGCCAGCGTGCTGCTTCTCCCACGTGTCGTCGTCCGCAGCTCTGATGCACAGCCAGCATCTAGCCAGCGTCAAGTCAAAGTCGAGCCAGCGTTGAACCAGCATAGCAAGACTAAACGATGACCACCTCGAGGCCAAACTTTAAGTAGTGTTTGACAAGGCTCTCTGGCCTCGAGTCTGCTCCCCTCAGTCGTCCAGATTGAGTCACAGCCGAAGGCCTGGATTATACAGTTGCAGAATTCCCCCTTGGACTTGATACTGTCTGGGTACCGGCATACGAACAAGTGTGTGTGCTTGACCAGTGGCCTGGACTAGGTACCTTTGGACTTTGACTGTTGGGGTCGCGACAGTTGACAAAAGTCAACTGTGGCACGCCCAGGCCCTGAATCCCTATGTGGGGTCCCTTACCTCGTTTTTGGCCTGGCTGAGGGCGGCCAGGTCGGCCCTCAAATTTCTACGAGACATATGGCATGGGTTATTGCATTCCTGCCGTCCCAGTTTTCGAGTTCCATCGCAGAAAATACAACAATTTCTTACCTAACCCACGTTCATATGCAGCAACAATGTCAGGAGCATTGGTTAAAAGTTCTTTCCTACTAAACCATCTAGCTTCAGATGGAGGTTGGGATTTGAACTTTACCTTGTACTGCTTCGGAGGTCGTCCTCTACCACCTGTAGAGAAATAGGCATGTTCCAATATCTTCTCAACTTCGTAGTTCCCATTCATAGATGGTGGAAACGTGGATAGCCTATTAGGAAAGTTATCACTTTCTACAAAAGGTAGCAGTTAAGATGCATGAGAGACAGGGTACGTCCGTAGCTGTGGAGGTATGTCGTGTGTGTCTCCAATCACCTTGAGAACTTCCTAGGGGCCAAAGTAGACAGGTAGCAGTTTCTCAGACACATTTTCTTCTAAGGACAACTCGTTAGATTTAACCCAAACAAAATCCCCTTCCTGAAATTGTGAAGGACGTCGATGTTTGTTAGCTTGTTCAATCATTTGTAATTGGGTTTTTTGTATGTTCTCCTTTACCTTCTTGATGTCCTCTTCGTATAAAACTGCAAACTCACGTGTACCCGGGGGTAGCCTCTGAATCTGGTCTCTGGTCAGGGCGTCAATGCGGCGTCGAGGCTTCCAACCCTTATGCAGTGCATTCGGTGTTCTACCTGTAACAGTACGTATGTTGTTGTTATAGGCACTAACAATTTTGGGTAAGTTCTCATCCCAATCAATCTGATCAGGTCGGACATACATTCGCAAAAGTTGTTGGCATAGACGATTCATTTGCTCAGTTTGACCATTGGTTTCAGGATGTCTGTCTGACGACATGGTCAACCTGGTGCCATAAACTTCCATCAACTTCTGCCATTGTAGACTAGTAAACCGAACATCTCTGTCAGAGACAATGGTTTCCGGAAATCCATACTCAGAAACCCATCGCATCTGAAATTTTTGAATCACTAGTTCAATTCTAGCTTCAGCAGACAAAGGAATGAACATAGCATACTTTGAGAATCTATCCACGATGACCATCACTTGACTGTTGCCATTCCGACTCTTCATGAGACTCATAAAGTCAATGGAGATAGACTCGCCTGGCTCTCTCGGAATAGGCAGCGGTCTCAATAGTCTCATTGGATTCTCATGTGAGGGTTTGTTCCTTTGGCAGACAAGACAATTCCGCACATACGTTAGTACATCTTCCGTCATTCCTTTCCACTCAAAACGTTCTCTTACATCAGCGTATGTCTTCTTGAAACCGAAGTGTCCTTCCGCATCATGGCATTCCCCAATAATCAAACTCTTAATTGGTTCTAGGTGAGGAATACACGATCGTTCTTCGGTTTTGTCTAGCAAGAATAGTAAGCCATCAGTCATTTGATATTTTGGAAATAACTCCGGGTTCTTTCTTAAAGTTTGGATGATAGGATTCCAAATAGAATCACTCTCATAACCCTGACGGATCTGTTCTTTCAGTTCATTTCCAGATAGGAGACAATCGTTCCAAAGAAATTTGCACGCCTGGACAAAGCATCCGCAACCACGTTAGACTTACCTTTCATGGTTTTCACCTCAAAGTCAAATGTATCAAGGAATGTGAACCTCCTTACCAACTTGTTAGAGAGTCTAGGTTGAGTCTTGATCCACTTCAATGTAGAGTGATCAGAGTAGACAATGAAGCGCCTTCCTAATAAGTAGTGTTTCCAGGTATCTAGTGCAGCTACTAAGGCATACAATTCCCTTTCATATGTAGAGTTGGCTATTTTTTCTGAAGGAAGTCTTCTTGACATAAACTCGAAAGGTCTATATCCCTTACCATCATCCTGCTATAGCACAACTCCAATTTCATACTGACTGGCGTCAGTTGTGACAATGAAAGGAAGAGAAGGGTCAGCAATCTTTAGGACAGGGTAGCGAGTCAAAGTATGTTTTAACTTCCTAAACAATGACTCACAATTTTTGTCCACAACCAAGGCTTTTCTTTTTTTAATAATCTCCTCATAGGAGCAGCTATCAGGGAGAAGTTTCTGACGAACTTCTTGTAGTAGCTAGCAAGTCCCAAGAAAGATCTTAATTCAGTTATAGTCTTGGGTTGTGGCCAATCTCTGATTGCTGTAATCTTCTTTTCTTCAGGCCTTAGTCCTTCTTCGTTTACTATATGCCCTAGGTACAAAACTTCAGGCTTAGCAAACTCGGACTTCTTCGGCTTCAAAAAGTTGCCCTCACTCAACTTCTGCAAGACCATTCGCAAGTGTTTTTCATGATCTTCTAGTGTTTTGCTATACACCAGAATGTTGTCGAGATGAACTATTACGAATTGGTCAAGCCACTGACGAAATAACTCGTTCTTTGGTCAGACCGAAAGGCATAACCACGAACTCCTAGTGTCCATACCTGGTTCGGAAAGTCGTTTTATGTTGATCCTCAGGTACCACCTCTATCTGGTGATACCTTGACTTGAGATCAATCTTACTGAAATATCTACATCCCTGCAACTGATCTAATACATCGTCAATGCGTGGAAGAGGTTCCGCGTTTTTAACAGTGACGGAATTCAGCCCGTGATAATCAATACATAGACGAAGTTCACCTTCTTTTTTAGGCACGAATAAGACAGACGCATCATAAGGAGATGAGCTAGGGCAAATCCATCCTTTATGAGTAAGTTCTTGCAGCTGTTATCGCAGTTCCTCAAATTCCCTAGGAGACATTCGGTAGATGGGACCCTTAAGTCTTGCTTCCGGGAATGATCTCAATCGTGTGCTTGATATCACGCTCAGTGATTCCCGTCGGCTCAGACTGCAAGTCCTTATACTCGTTAAGAAGTTTTTAAATAGAAGGTGGGTAGGATTAAGAACACTCACATACTTGTTTAAAGCACCATCATCACCTCCGGATCTAACTTCTTCTTAGCAAACCATCGATCAAAAAGTTGGATAACTCATACAGCAGAAATACAGAGTAGAGTCAGAGCCAGACTTATGATATAACTTGATAGCACGCAGTTCGGACTTCTCGTCCTTGAGTCTGACAATTTTATCTTTGAACTTAACTTCTGGGTCGGTTTCCTCATGCCAATCCATACCCTGAATTAAATCAAAGGGTAAATTCTTCTCTATAAGGAAGGATACCTCGTGTAAAATCTTCTTACCTTCCTTGGTCCTGAAGTAACACTTAACACGATCAACGTAGTGAGAGACAGTGATCGTGCTCTTATCAGACAGTATAGACGTGGTAGGTCTAGGTAAATCCTTTACCTTCATTCCCAGATGCAACTTTCAAATTGCCTTCTCTGAGATATAAGACCGCGTCGATCCCGCATCTAACATAGCACCTACTCGCGTGCGCGCAATCTCAACGTCCGCGATCATTAACTCACCCTTAGACTTTGCTTTCTTCGCCCACGAACTCCTTAATGCTATTAGTTCATTGCCGAATTCGTCAAGGGAATCATCCAGTGAGACAGAACAAAGGACTGTGTCAGGCATGGACTCGATCGCGGCGGTGTTATCATCAAGCTTCTTTTCGAGATGCATGAGGTGGACATTGATAGACTGAAGAATAGATGCAACTTCACTTCCTGCTTCCTCGTAATGGAACTTTTGTCTCAACTCTTCCATTACTCTCTCTTCTTCTTCTTGCTGTTCTTTCAATCTTCGGTATTCTTCAACCTTCCTTCTCACTTGTTCCAATGTGTTCTCAAACTGTCGGATGTTTTCCTCCATCATATCCACAGACAGTTGTGGTTTTCTCCTTTCAACTCTTTCTTTTTTACTTTCTTTTCTTCCATTTCTTTCCCGTTCTAATTTCTCAAAGCTCTCGGCAACATACCGATGAAGGACTAATTGTCCTTGCTTTATGAGTTCTTCGACCCCCTGGCATGTCTCCATCATCTGAACAGCAGTTTCAGCGGCCTGCAGGTCTCTTCCTGCATCACGCAGATTGACCTGTCCGTGAAGATGTTGTTCAACATCTGGACCGACACCATGTACATCGCCGAGCAGCTGACGAAGGAGACCCAACAAAGTCTGTCTCCTTCCGTCAATCTGTCCACGGGTTTTCAATTTCACTCTCTCTTCATCAACAAAGACGGTGACAGGGATGGGGAAGAAGAAGAGGGGTATGAACCGAGTCAAGATAGAGGCACGCAAACACTTCCAAAGAGAGTTCATTCTGCCAAGCGTGCAAATTCCGCACAATAAATAAAATTAAAAGACAAAAATAAATTCCACAACGCACACAACTCTTACATCAAAAAATTATCAGAAGAAACAATCCAAATCTTTTTTGAATTCTAACTTTGTTATCTAATATTTGTGATGACACTCTACTACTACAGGTACCGCAGCCACGGCCAGTGTGATCAAGACAACAACACAAGGGTAAGTATGCACAACATCCACAGACAACCAACAGGTGAGTAAAACCAACACATAACATGATCAATGGTTAGTCCTATTCTCAATCATCTGCAGCAGCAGTACAACCCAAGTGCACATTCACACTTTGAACAGTCCTTACACATGCCACGTGTCACCCCTGGCCTGCCAACACAATAACTCAAAGAGTCTGCCACGTCAGCAATCAAGGACCCGATAGGTCTACAATGAGGAATGCCACGTCACAATGCAGGTCTGTCTTCCATCAGTATACCAACTCAGCACATCAACAACAAGCAGCAACAGGTACGTGCCTCGTGAGACCATGCCCTGCATACCACAATGCCACATCAACGGTACCAGCGCCATGTCAGCCTGTTGCCAACGCGGCTCTTCAATCTTCAGTGTAGACTTGTCATCATCTTCACTCGCAAGTGCACTATTTCCATGTCTAGACTTGTGGTGGGACCGCGCGCGTTAATAAACGCATTTCATATTGCACATGCGGCACCTCCCACTTACCTGGGTGCCACGTCAGCACCTGACAGCTGACAGTAGATCGCGACGAAGAGTAGCTCCGATACCTAATTGTAATGAACCCAGATCGTGAAGACAGTTATCAACAATGCAAGTTCAAATGTATGTCACAACTGATGATTACCAATAATCAAGATCGTGTCTAGACAGAATGAGACAAGATAATCATACACAGACGAAGAAGAGAGGAGGGAGATTAGACAAAGGAGAGGAGATAAATACAATGCCCACTCCTGCTTCGGGCTCACTCCTCCAACACCACTTCAATAATCAATAGTCTGAACAAGTATCTGAAGTAACCTCAAGGTGCCATATAGCACGTCTAATTAGTCCCTCATCAGCTCTCGAGCAATATCGACTTGAAGATAATCAGGTACGTATTCACAATCTCTCCACAGTCCCGATCTTCCTCTTCCCTCGCAATCAGTCACCTCATGTAGACAGCGTGGTCAATGCCACGTCACAATCAAGACAGGTGGCAACGCCACATCAGCAAAGAAGACCAATAGTAGCACCACATAGACCAAGAACAGCGCCACATACACCAGAGGCAGCGCCACGTCAGCATGCCATGTAGACCAGAGGCTGCGCCACATATACCAGAGGCAGCGCCACATCAGCATGCCACGTAGATCATAGGCAGCGCCACATATACCAGAGGCAGCGCCACGTCAACATGCCATGAAGACCACAGGCAGCACCACATCAGCATGCCTGGCGTACAATGCCAGCGTGCTGCTTCTCCCACGTGTCGTCGTTCGCAGCTCTGATGCACAACCAGCATCTAGCCAGCGTCGCGCTAGCATAATGCCAGCGTCAAGTCAAAGTCAAGCCAGCGTTGAACCAGCATAGCAAGACTGAATGCTGACCACCTCGAGGCCAAACTTTAAGTAGTGTTTGACGAGGCTCTCTGGCCTCGAGTGTGCTCCCCTCAGTCATCCAGATTGAGTCACAGCTGAAGGCCTGGATTGTACAGTTGCAGAATTCCCCCTTGGACTTGATACTGTCTGGGTACCTGCATACGAACAAGTGTGTGTGCTTGACCGGTGGCCTCGACTGGGTACCTTTGGACTTTGACTGTTGGGGTCGCAACAGTCTACAAAAGTCAACTGTGGCACGCCCAGGCCCTGAATCCCTATGTGGGGTCCCTTACCTCGTTTTTGGCCTGGCTGAGGGCGGCCAGGTCGTCCCTCAGATTTCTACGAGACATATGGCATGGGTTATTGCAAGCTTGATTGTGATTTTCAATTTTTTCATCCATTGATTCATTGGGGGGAGGCGGGGGTCGACAGATGGAAAAAGGGAAAAAAAGAAAGAAAACGGAAAACAATGGATTGATGGAGGCGAGCAGCTAGCCAAGCTCACACACGGTATTGCAGCAGCATGTTTGCGATTTAAAAAATTTTCATCCCTTGATTGATTGGGGGGAGGCAGGTTGACGGATCAACAGACGGAAAAGAAAGAAAACGGAAAACAACGACGGTGACTATGCCGTCCTCCTCCCTCATCTTCGTCTCTCCTCCTTTGTCCTTCCCCATTGTCTTCCTCCTTCCTTATCCTCTTCCTCTTGCCTCCAGCTTCTATTCGTCCCTTCTTGTCAAACGTCCTTCTCCTCCTCCATCTGTCTCGTCCCTCCTCTTCAAATAGTCATTGTACCCTGTTTTGGATCGGATCGCTGTCACCGCCCTCCATCTTACTCCTTCGGTCTCGTTTTCCGTGCAAGCTTATCCAACCTGTGTGTGTGTGTGTGTGTGTGTGTGTGTGTGTGTGTGCGTGTGTGTGTGTGTGAGGGAGAGAGAGAGAGAGAGAGAGAGAGAGAGAGTTGCTGACTATTTCAGGTAGACTTTTTGTGGGGTTGGGAATGGACATTGTTCTGCTGACAACTGTGGGATTTGGGGAGAGACTATTACTATTTTGTTGTTGCATGGTATTGTCACTGCGCGATGTCGTCAATACTGCACGATGCCATCATAACTGCGCGGTGTCGTCAATCCTTCCCCTCAGAGCGGCCTGGGGGCTGACCGACATATCAACTTTTGCTGACGCATCAGCTATTCGGTGCCACGTGACAAGACCCGGAGGCTGACTGCTACGGGTCAACTTTCGTTGACGCGGCGCGTTGGCCTCCGACAACATAACTGGTAGCAACCGGGTCAAGATCTCGAATCTACGTGTAGAATCTACGTGTAGGGCAGGTGAAAAGGGGAACATAGATCTGATTGTTTGCTTTTTCTTTGTGTAGGCCCGCTTTGGTCGTTTTGTGAGCTGGCGGTGTTGTTTCTTTTGGCTCGTTCGATGTTTCCACCGGATGTTTGACCGAATTCTGCCTGATGTTGGCCATTTTCTGGGGGGCTCAGTCCGGTTGCTCATCACCGGCAAGCATGTTCTTACAATTGAAAAGAAGAAGGGGTAAGAACAGACAAGACAGAGGACCAGCCTGTCCCTTGTGGCCCTAGACGCCTGGCAAGGGGGGACTGTTTTGGAGCAACCCTCCCCCCTATCCTTAGCCTTTCAGGGGGGTTGCCCTACCAGCCGGGAAGCTTACTGGCAGCACCCAGTCACGCAGTAGGGCAGTCCTCAGATAGGCAGGGTGCCGGAAGGGTGCTCCTAACAGTTCCTCAGGACGCTTAACATCCTGTTACCTGTTTCTAATATCCCTCCTCGCACATAGACCCTACATTACCTATGTCTGAAGCCCATATCTGGTTCCAGCCTATTCCCCTGTAGTTACATGTCCACCTCTACCTAACTGTTCTCATTCAGAACGTGTTCCGCTTACCTCTTATGTCTATACAAACCATAATAGGCCCTCCTACCATCGCACATATACATCCAGATTGTGTTCCGCTTATCCCTAACATTTATACAAGCCATAATAGGCCACAGTCCACCCACTTGTTTCAGTACGTTTCATGTTTTCTGTCTTTTTACGGTTTCTTTTAGTATCTCCTGTCCACCCCTTGGTCCCCTCACCACCCCATTCCCCCATACTCCAATTCCCTTTACTACCCTCCCCCTAGCCCCGTAGTCCCCTCTACACGTCCCCCTGCCTCCCCCTCCCTCCTAATGTCGCCCTATCCTCTATACTAATTCTGGTGTCCACCAGGTTTCATCACACCACCTACTCATCTAACTACTGTACAAATCGGTTAACTGCCTTGCCTATCCTTCCTGGGATCGTCCTCCTCGAACCGTCTCCTCGAACCGGGGCACGTGCCGCAACAGGGCGGGGCCGAACTGCATATGGCCTGTACATGGATCTTGAATAATCAGTTGCGGGTATGGGCCCCATCTCGCCCAGAAGCCTTCCACCTACTGCGATCCTAAATGGTTGCATCTATGCAAGTCTGCCTGAAGGGCAGTTCTGATACATTCCAAATCCCTTTCCTTATATGCCTGCAGAGGGGGAGCTGGTCCCTGTCGACATCTCTCGTTCCGCAGGGTCCATACTGCCCACAGCACAGGTGCTCGCAGAGTCTCTGCCGCCATCATAGTTTCCGGGCTTGCCCTGTCCACTTTTATGAGCGTCCCTAAGAGAATAACTGCATTGTGACCTCTAGCGGGGACTTATCAGCTAACACCTGTGCCCACCATTCCCAAAAGGCCCGGACAGTTGGGCATCGCACAATCAGGTGGGGCATGGTTTCCGTTTGTCCACACCCCGCGACGCAACTCTGGTCCTTATATCTACTTTTAGTTGCTATCCATTGCACCATGGAGATTGCCACGTGATAAATTTGCCACATCAACCCCGCCTGCTTCTGGTCTGGCAACGAGGCTAGGATAGCACATTGGCAATAACCCATGCAGTATGCCTCGTGGAATGTCTGAGGGCCTCCCCAGGCCGCACTCAGACCCAGGCCGAAGGGCGAAAAAATGAGCCCCACTTAAAGATTCAGGGCCCGGACAAGATACAGTTGACTGAAGTCAACTGTCGGAGACTCAACAGTCAAAGTCAAAGTGTACCCAGCCCAAGTCGCCGGTCAGACGCACACACTTGTTTGTATGCAGGTACCCAGACAGTATCAGGTCCAAGGGGAAGTCTGCAACTGTACACAATCCAGGTCCTCGGCTGTGAATCAATCTGTACGACTGTGGGTGAAGGACTGGTCTCCAGGAGGTCAACATTCAGTCTATTCAGTCTTGCTATGCCGCTCGGACGATGGCTCGACTATGACTGGTCGCTGGCATTGATGCTGGCATGACGCTGGCGAGACACTGGCGGTGCACATGCACTGTGGACGACGACGCGGAACTGTGGCAGTATGCTGGCGCTTTCTGTTCTGTGTGCCAGGCATTGCTGATGTGGCGCTGCCACCTGTCTGATGTGGCGCTGCCACCTGTCTGATGTGGCGCATGCCACTGGTCTACATTGGTGATGTGGTGCTGCCACTTATCTACATTGCATTGCTGATGTGGCACATGCCATGGGACCACATTGCTGATGTGGCGGTGCCACCTGTTCTTATTGCTGATGTGGCATTGTCCACGCTGTCTACATGAGATGACTGGTTGCGACAAGGAGGGAGATCGGGATCTGTGGATGATTGAGGGATGCGATACTTACCTCAGGCTGACGTCGATATTGCATGCTGCTGGTTGTCTTCATTGTCTCCATGGAAGAGGAGTGCCATGTGGCACTTCTGTGTGACCAGGACTTATCAGACTTGTTACTGTTTATTGATTGATGGCGTGGAGGGAGAGGAAGCCCAGAGAAGAAGTGGGTTTGGTTGGGCTACTATTGTGTGATCTTTGACCATCTCTTCCACCTTCTCCCTTGTCTATCCTCCCTCCTCTCTCTTCATCTATTGGTAACGAGATACTGTTGCAGATATCATTTGCACGTTAACTGGAGACTTTGTGCAGATCTGAGATTACTGGTACTTCGACGTCTGACGAGTATCTTCCTGACTGAGTTCATTACAATTTGGTATCGGAGCATACTCCTTCAACGCAATCTGCTGTCAGGTGCTGACGTGGCACCCAGGTAAGTGGGAGGTGCCGCACGTGCAGGACGAAATGCGTTTATTAACGCGTGCGGTCAATACCGCAGGTCTAGACATCGAGTACCGCACATGCGTGCAGCCTCCCTTGAAGGTGATGACGTGGCTACATTGAAGACCTCGGAGATACCAGCAAGAGCTCCGTTGGCAACAGGCTCACGTGGGGCTGGTCCAGAGGCGCACTGCCTATGTGGCATGACATGGAATGCTGATGTGGCATTCTGGCAGGGCATGGTCTTGACGTGGCACGTACCTGTGTTCCGATTGCCTGTTGATGAAGCGCTGCATACTTTGAGCTGACATGGCATACCAGTGTTGTGTGTGTTACAGATGTGCAGTGCTGACGTGGCATCCCTCCTCGTAGACCTTTCGGTCCTGGACGCTGACATGGCAGACTTCATAGAGCTGCTGCGTTGGCATGCCAGGGGTGACACATGGCATGCATACATACTGCTGTGGAGGAACTGTTGAGTGTGCACTTGTGTGCCGGCAGACAGTACGGCTTTACGATTTGCTGTAGTGTCGAGTGCTGGCCTTGTGATGGTTGCATTGCTTCTGCAGATGGTACAGCCGTAGAGGAAGGAAGCTAACCATTGATTGTGGTGTTGTGTTTGCTCACCTACTCACCTGTTGGTTGTTCTGTGGTTGCTGTGTATACTCACAAGTGTGCTGTTATGTTGATCACACTGGCCGTGGCTGCGGTACCTGTACATTGCTGTAGGACGTCATCACATAGAACAGACAGAGAAGTTAGAACTTAGAAATCAATTGAGAACTTGTTTCTTCTTATTTGTTTAAATTATTTCTTGCTGTAGGAGTTGCATGCGAATTTATCTTTTGTCTTTTAATTTTATTCATTGTGCGGCACATACACGCTGGGAAAAATGACTTCTCTCTGGAAATGTTTGCGTGCCTCCATCCTGACGCGGTTCATACCTCTTCTCTTCTTTCCCATCCCTCTCATTGTCTATGCTGATGCCGAAGGGGGAGAACTGAATACTCGTGGACAGATTGAAGCAAGAAGGCAAACTATAACAGCCTTCTTCGTCAGTTGCTTGGTGAGATACACGGTGCAGGTCCAACAGCTGAACAGCATGTTCACGGACAGTTCAACCTGCAAGCTGCAGAGGATGAACTTGATGCCGCTGAAACTGCCGTTCAGATGATGGAAACCGGCAGGAGGATCGAGGACCTCATAAAGCAAGGGCGGATTGACCTTGACCGGTATGTCGCCGAGCAAATGAAGAAGAGAAAGAGGAAAGGAAGGAATTGACTGTAAAAATAATGGAGGAAAATATCAGACAATTAGAGAAATCTCTTGAACAAGAAAGAAAGAAGATTGAGGAATACCGGAAGAGAAAAGAAGAAAAAGAACAGCAAGAGAAAATGTTAGAAGAAATGAGAGAACAATTTCACTTTGAGGAAGTTGAAACTGATCTTGCGTCTGTATTGCAATCTGTCATGGCTTATCTTGTTCATCTTGAGAGGAAGATAGACACTAATACTGTCTCATCAGATACTATGATGAGACTGATGAAAGGGAAGGACAAGGTGAGTATTGAGGAAGAAACCCAAGAAAAACTCATGAAGGATGCAATGCGGAAGGTGAGGCCAGACAAACCCGGAACTTCAAAGATAGAATCTGAGGGACCGGTAGAGAAGAAAGAAGAACCCACCATAAAGAAAGAAGAACCGGTCAAAGAAGCAGAAAAACCGAAGAAGAAAGGAAAGGTCAAAATGAAATTGTCATTCACGTACAACAACAAGAAAGATGAAAACTTGTTGTTGTGGATCGCGGAGATCCAGACTTATTGTGGGACTGCACCCATTGAGTCTGAGAGTCAGGTCGCTTTCTCCACGTCGTGTCTGGGAGGAGTGGCTAAGGAGTGGGTGTTGTCCGAAGCCAACGCTGCTGGCTTCAAAGATATTGGTGAGTGGGCTAAGACCTTGACATTGAGGCAGTTTTTTTTGGAAAATTAAGGAGAGATTCCTCGATAAGACCACAACTGACAAAACTTTTGATGAACTCACCACGATAGGTCAGAAACGTTCGACTTTTGTTGATGCCTTGTCGTGTGAAGTGGACCGTCTTCTGCCGGTACCAAGATTGAACCTACAGGACAACCAGGTACTGTATATCTACTCACGTGCACTGCCCGAGCCCATTCACGAACAGCCCGTGGCAGAAGCTAAGTCTGGTAATTATAACTATCGGCAGTTTTGCAATCTCGCTCTCCAACCATGCACAGGTGAAGGGCTCATATGCTTCAATGGTTAAGTCTGAACTCGTTGGGGGGTATGGCAAGTGGGTCCTTTGGCAGCAAAAGCGCCAGGACCACATGCTTGTTGTGTTTGATGGTGAGACCGTAGAAAAGTTACCCCTCGACGGGTCTGAGGGAGGAGGAGGTAATGGCGGCAGTGAGTTTGGGAAGGGTGACGTCACTGCCGCAATGGCCAACAAGGAAGGCCAAGGTCAGTGAAAGAAGAAGAGGAGGCCACACTCGTTTCCAGAGCATCCTGGCATAGCGTTCGAGAAGCCATGGGAAAAGATGAACATGACACGAGAAGAATGGCAGTCCAAGATGGACAACCGTCAGTGTCTCAAGTGCGGCGCCGTAGGGCATGTGATAGCCTGGTGTCCCTTGATTAGGAACCCAAAAGTGAGCAGCTAGTAGGAGTAACATCTGCTCCTACTGAGTCGAGAGGTTTAGACCAAAGTAAAGGTAAGGCGCCTATAACCCCTTCTAACCTTTTGACTCTCGAGGCAGAGGATGACTCTTCTTCAACCCATCGTCCAGAGCACCCTGACACTGTCCTTCGCTCTGACTCACTGGACGATTCCCTTGACGAACTCGACAATGAACTCGTAGCACTTCGGAGTTCGTGGGCTAAGAAAGCAAAGACTAAGGGTAAATTAGTGATCGCGGATATTGAGATTGCGCACACGCGAGTAGGTGCACTGTTAGATCCAGGATCGACGCAGTCTTACACCTCAGAGAAGGCAATTCAAAAATTGCATACGGGATTGAAGGTAAAAGATTTACCTCGACCTATCACGTCTATGCTGGTTGACAAGAGCACGATCACCAGCTCTCAATACGTCAATCGTGTCAAGCGTCATTTAAGGACGAAGGAAGGAAATAATATTTTACATGAGATATCCTTCCTAATAGAAAAGAATCTGCCATTTGACATGATTTTGGGAATGGATTGGCGCGAGGAAGCCGACCCAGAGGTAAGGTTCAAAGATAATTTTGTCAAACTTGAGGACGAGAAGTCCAAACTACGCACTACTAAGTTGTATCATAGATCTGACTCTGACTCAACTTTGTTTTTTGGCTGTACGAGTTACCCAACCTTTCGATCGGTGGTAGTTAAGAAGAAGTTCGATCAGGAGGTGATGATGGTGCTTGTCAAACGAGTTGGTGGGTGTAGCTCATCCTATCCACCTTCTATCGAAAAACTTATCGATGAGTACAAGGACTTGAAAACTGAGCCAACGGGAATTACTGAGCGTGCTATCAAGCACACAATCGAGATTATTCCCGAAAGCAAGATTCCCAAGGGTCCCATCTACTGAATGTCTCCCAGGGAACTTGAGGAATTACAAGGGTACCTATTGCAGCTTCGCTCGCAAAAAAAATGGAGGGCAAAAACCAAAAATGTGAAAGGGGGGACTTTCTACATTTGCAAGGGAGTTACCTCCGAGAGACCTGTTGAGGCTTAAGGGTTTGG